ATGAATACGGTGTTCTGGTTTACAACCTTGATTTAATTCTGTTTGTAAACACTGGGGAACAAATGCAGCAATGTCATGCAACAGATGAGCAAGGCCCTGAAAACAGCTCACAAAAGCTTATTCCCTCTCACTTCATCCATCTTCTGAAGAACATAATGCAGTCACTGTTCACCTTCCCTGGTGGTCGTGCTGTTCATACCAGTGGGAGGATGCTCCCTCCTGTCAGTGTGCCTTGAGAACACCCCCTGCCACAGCGTTCAGGCACTCTGTGTCCAGGCAGAGAGGGATGGAATGAAAATATTCTGGGATGGGAGAGAGGGGAGGTGGTTCACAGGCTTTGGCACTTCCTTGGAGCCCCGGGAGGTGAATGGTAAAGGGTGTCACAGATACCCCTGAACTCCCTGACAAAGCAGGGAAGTGGGTGCTGAGGGACCTTCTAGCACAGCTATTCCTGTGATCGTATTTGTAAATTCACAGGGGAAGGACAGGGACTATGCACAGAAGACAGTGCTGTGCTTTCTGTTTATTCTGGACACAGAATAATACCCAGAGCTTCCTCTGAGAGCCTGCAGAGGACATGGGCTAAAAGAAAGCCTCTGAGAGGAAGTGCTGAAAAGTAAATAGGCAGCACAGGCAATGCTGCTGAGACACTGCAGAAGACAGGCACTGTATCAGAGTTTTGGTCTGTACCCTGAACGTAAGCCTGGGAGACAGAAATTGCCATATAATTCTTTCTGCGACATATAATTACATTCTTAACCTCTTTGTCTTTTTTACTTTTTCTGATAAAGAGGAAATAATTCATTTCCAGGAATATAAGTGGCTTTAATTCACTTAGATCAAGCCTCTTTCTTTTTCTTTCTTCTTTTCTTGGTTTTTTTCTCCTGATTCAGTGCCTGACTCAGAACCATCATTCTTACCACTTCTGTCAGACTATCCCACATTTCCCAGTGGTTTTTACTACTGCAGTTTGGAAGCACTCTTTGTTCTTACAGTCCCAGTGCCTACCAAGGCTTTTCTTTGCATGTTCTTTGACGTTTATTCCCTAGGAGCCGGATCCTTGTGTCCTTACATGTGAGCCAAATCTCCCAATGAATTTGCAAACATGCAGGATCAGCAACTTAAACAGTTTATTTGTTCTTCAGGGTTTTCTGTGTTCTCAGGAAAAAGGACGCCTATAGGCAAACACTGCATCACCAGGTTTCATCGGCACAAAAGGGAAGCTTAGAGAGGAAGGAAGGCACAGCAGTGCGGAGTTAACGATTAAAAAACAAAAACAGCCTTCTCAGGGTTTTTTTTCTGAGAGGATGGTGGTGACAGATGCAGTTACAGTTGTTTCTTGAAATACATCAAAAGACTCCTTTGCTGGGTTTGGCTCAGTGTCAGCAGTAATAGCTGATTCCAGTGTGTTGTCAGAATAATATAAATCTTTGGCTGTATTTTTGAGACACCTTTCAGCCTGGATATCTGTACTACATTTACATTTAGGAACCTGGAATTTCTAATGGCCTGGCACCTCAGGCTGAGAACTGCCTGCTCCCATTTACCTCAGCTGTGGTGTTTGCATCAGAGGATTCTAGCCGGGCACGTTGAAAATGTAATGTATTCAGTTTATGCCCTACATAGGACTTGAGATCAGCATCAACGACCAGATCCAATCTGCAGCATTAATTCAAACAAACTGTACTGCTGCCAACATGATTGCTGTGGATAAGGACTCCATCTCACAAACTTAGATATTAGAGAAGCTTCAAAGTTCACTTTAATACAGGTGTCCCTCTTCTGGTGTCAGAAATTTTATTGCAAGTAGTGTTGGTGATGAGCCAAGGTTTGACATGATCTAACTATGTAATTTTGTGAAAATTTATGATGAAACAGGACCATTAATATTTTATTCTGCAGTAGAATAAAACCCTTTTTTTGCTCTCTTTCTGCTGTGCACATACAGAACAGAGGTATTGCTACAGATCAATGGATTTTCCAGCCAGAGAGATTATTCTGATCTCTCAGTCTGGCATTTTACAGCAACAGTCAAATGTATTCCCTGAGAAGATTGTGCATCAGATTCCTTAACTCGCTGATATTAATTGAGATTACACAGGTGTAGTTTGTGTGGACAAACCCTCAGCTTACTGTGAAACATCACAATTCTTCTCCAGATATGCCAGTGACCCACACTAATGGACACGTGCCTCATTTCCAGCTGACTCTATCTGGACTCAGCTTCCTGCTATTGGATCTAAGTACATCCCAGAAATATATGTTGTTAAATTGTTCATCATTTCAATGGGATAGAGTTTGGGGCATGTAATACTGACTAATATGTACTTCCACAGGTGTTTTACAAAGACTTTTACCCTAATTCTGCTGATTATATGATTATTTAGGTCCGCCATTCTTATATTTTCTACAAAAAAAGTAGATCCATTCACAGACATTTACCCAGTTTTGTTTTCCACACTGCTTCAATTTCAGCTGAGATAAATTCCATACATGTCAGGTCCACTTTTTGCACACAAAAAAGCGAAGGACAGGGGTCTGACTGCTCAGCTGAAGGCAGAGGACGCAAGGCTCAGGTACTTCTGCCTCTTACTGGGAGTGTTTTGTACACCTCTGTATTCAACCTTGAAAACAGAACACAGGAGACAGAGACAGTGCCACCACCTACAGAAGTGTATACCACATCAGCACTATCTTGCCAGCATTCCAACAGAAATCACATTTTGCAAAGGCTATTTTCCCCCACTGACATTAAAATGGGTGTCAAGGCCATCAGGGAAAGCATCAAGCAGACACAAAGTCTGCCACAAGATCACAGCTGTTTGTGCTGCTGCATGTGCCTTTATCCCTGATGGCATCCCCCAGAGCAGAGAGACTCATCCTTCTATGAGAAAATTCAGATAAATCCATGTTAGAACAGTGCAATGCTCTGGAGCACTGAAATAGCTTGTGAATGTAAAAATCATTCACCAGTACAAAACCAGGGCGTTGCTGCATTGTCTGCAGGAGACAGCGACGTTCAGCCCTCGGGGGAAACAGCAAAGGAAAAATGAATGCAGCAGGAAATCTTTCTAAGCAAGAAGTTGGCCACATGCTAAGAACCATATGCACATTTCATAAAAGCTTACCTGTATTTCTATTTCTTATTATAATTATCTTTAAAGATGTTGCTCCTTCAGGTAAGAGTCACCTAAACATAATCCTCTTCCTAAAAAAAATAAAACTCACAAATCCTTGGAATGAGGAAATATTCCTTTAAAAATTATTATTATATTATATTTTATCCCTCTGGACACTAGCGCTGTATAAAGAATCTCTTACATTTATTTTTTTTTTTTTTGGTGCCTGTTTTGCAGGCTGAAGAAAATGACTGTAAATCAGTTTGCATTCAAAACACCACACTTGCACCTAAAAGAACAGGATATTATACCATTAAAAATAAAATTCAGTATAATGGAAAAATTTTCTGACTGACAGCATAACACCTTTTGAGTCATAAATTCTCATTTTTATAGGACAAAAGGGACTATCACAATCACTCTCTGAATTCCTACATAACAGAGACAATGTAATTTTAGACAACAATTCCTATGTCAGTCTTGCCTTCTGATCTGGAGGAAAACTTCTACTTTACATGTCACACCCTGCAAGCAGAATACCCAGAGATTCTTCATCTTTACCCATTACAATTATCAAACAGATTTACCAAAATCTGATAAGCAATAGGGCAGAATCAAATCTTAGTTCTAAACAAATTTGAGCACAGATGAATCAGCACACGGAAATAATGATAGGATGGCAGTATCTGTTAGAGACATCCTCTTTTACAGGCTAAAATCAAACTATTTTATACTTCACAAAGTTCCTGTAATTGGATCTTGCAGAAGGGCTAAATGCTGTAATGGATCTGTGGCTTCATTAGCACACCCTGACATCCTGCAGCAGTGCATCCATCAGGCTCCTCATCCCCCTGGGGAAGGCTCCAGGGGCTGCCACGGGCTCTGCAGGATCAGCAGACCTGGGGCTTTTGCTGTGCCCTGGCTGCAAACCCCAAAATCCATCACTGTCTGTGAAATCCCACTATCTGTGGAAAATGTGGTAACAGATTTTGCTACTGAAGGAAGGAATTGCCTGCCCATCCCACCTAGGACATAAGCTGGGGTTGAGTTAGCTTTAGCATGACAGCTGTAAGGTCTGTGGTTTAGAGAAAAAGATGGTGAAAACAGAGCAGTGTTTTGGCTGGTGCTGAGCAGTTCTGCCCCTGCCCAGCAAATACCCTGGGGTGGGCAGAAGATTGAGCAGGGACCCAAGGTGGAAAAATAGTTGTTGAATACAATATAAAATCGTGCTCAGCAACAAAAACTGGGGCAAGGGAAGAAAGGGAGAAGGGAGTGGCCACTGCTGGGAGACTGGCCTGGCATCAGTCTGCTTGTCAGAGGTGGGAGTGATCGCTTTGCATCCTGATTCCCTCCTTCCCTTCACTCAGCTCTCTGGATCTCAACCCAAGAGTTTTCTCACCTCTGGTCACTCTGCTCTCTCCCATCTCACTGGGGGTAGATGTTTCTGCAGTGCCAAGTTTGGAGGGAGAACAGGTTGTCCTCCCCGCTAAGGGGACCAGTGATTTCTGATGGCTTTGAGTCACCACAAAGCTGGTGTGGGTCAGTACAAAGGGGTGAGACAAAGATTATACTTGGGCCAAGGGAGCTTCAGGCCAGTTTGTACTCTGGTGTTTGTCTGGGAGAGTCACAGCTTTATATTTCTACCCCTGCCTGCCTTTATACAGTAAATTAAGAAGTGCAAAAAATATGGTTAGGAGTAGCTCAGGTTAGAAGATCTCCTAAGAGCACTGATAGACCTAGTTGAACATTTCTGTCCATGGCCTAATTAGTATAAAAAAACCAAGATGAGATTTTCAAAGGTTGTGAGACACCCAGTCCTGTATTAATCTTAACTTTCACCTTATATTGATTCTGTACTTATATGTGTTTTCTTTTAATTAGATCAACTTTAATTTGGAACAGTTTCATCTCTGAAGCACCTTATTAATACCACAGAAACATTAAACAGAAGTTTGCACTACAAAAGTGGAAGTAAGTTAAAATCTGAAAATGTGACCTCTGTCTTCAAGCCTGTCTTAGCTCATAAATCTGTAATCAAGGCCTAAGGTTGTTACATTTATGCCAAACAGCCCCAAAACACAGGATGAGCAGGATACTTTCCTGAACTTGGAGACTGGAGGCACCATCTGTGCTCACATGTAGTTTTTACTGTACCTTATTTCTTAACTTTGAATACTTCATTTTGAAAATTTGCTTTGTGTTTTATCTTTTAAAAGAGCTGTGATTATACTGGCAGCAGCACTGACATGGTTATCGTGAATCCCACAGTTACAGAAAGGACTGCAAAACACAGATCACTCAGATCAGACGACCTAAAGAGTGGGAAATAAACATAAAAAGCTCACTTACCATGACAGTTCTGGAATTGCACCAGGGATGACCTTGTCTCTGTGGGCTCTCCCAGCTCACAAATCCTAAAGCATCACCTGCACCAGAGCGATGCCCAGCATTGCTGCCCTTGCATTGGAACAGAGAGCCCCTCAGCTGAGCCCAAGCTCTTTTCCTCTCCATCCACTGGTGGTTTAAGCAGACATTTGATTTTTCTGTTCCGAGTTTGCCTGTAACTATTCATAGCAGCTAATTCCCCACACCCTCGGGACTCTGATGTCAGCACCAGCCAAACCCGAGCTCAGCATGGTGAGCTGCCTCAGGGGCTGCCACCACCACAGCACAGCTCACACACACCCAAGAGGAGGAAGTCCATCTCACTTTTTCAATTAAAGAAATCTCTTTATCTCGTAAGATTTGTAAAATGGTATTTGTTTTTTGAGGCTGCCGAGTACTTTGTGCAGTATTCATAAAAGCGCTTACTGGCCATCCTCCTGTCAGTGTCACGTGCAAAAGTTTTCTGCACTTTTGCAATTAACACCAGTCCATAATACACATCACAAAGAAAGCCACTGAACAGGCAACAAATGGCAGCTCAGCTTTGCTAGTGATCTCAGCAGAGGCTACAGTGGTCATGGCCACTGAACCTTTCCACACACCAGTATTTGCTTCCAGTGTATTTAATGATTCATCACCCTAGAAACCTCCATTTGGTTGGGTACATGAGGCATTTCTTATTTCCCTTCAAAGCTCCATTCCCTTGCTTACCATATAGCTCTACTTTACACCTCTCACATTTAAGTTAATTTTTCTGAAAATTTTTACACCCAGCTGTAGAAATACTCCAGAGAAGTTTACACTCCTTGTAAGATGGCACCAATGTTTCCTTCAAATTGTTAAAAACTTCTCACCTTCCAGGACTGCATTATGTTTTCTACCCCAATTATATTCCAATGTTTTATCACATTCATCTTTCACCTGGTAAGTGCACTCAGGTTTTTTCCCACCTCTGCTACTTCCAGTTCACAAAGCCCCAGGTTACAGGTGAGGTTATTACTGAACCCAGAGCATCTGGTTTGTACAGTATGAGACTTATTTATATGACATCACCAGCAAGCTGGTAAAAAAGTTAGCCTCATCCTTTTTGAACATCCACTCAGTCTTCCTCAACATTGGCAATGCCTCCCAATTTGTCTTACCCAGGAATTTCACCTCACCACACTGGTAAATATATTAAATAGACCAGGTCCCAGCTGCCTCAGCAAGTATTTACTGTCAATACTGCACACACTTCCTGGTGACATTATCAGCTGAATTGGAACTCCCCTCTAAGAAAGACTCACTTAATATGAAGAGGAAGTTTCTTTTTTCTGCTTTATTTAAGGATGGTGAATGCTGATGCAAGATCTGGTGATGAATGTCAGCTTTCTTGTACCATGAAACATATTATTGTCATTGTTCTCCTGCTTCATTTGGTCTAAAAACAGCTTCCTATTACTATTATGCTACACCAGGTCAGGCTATTTTTATGGACAAATATACAGGAAAAAAGCATGTGTTTATATTTTTAATTCCTGGTTGCAGCAGTAAGTAAAACATACAGTGAATATCAGGATCAAATCATAGCATCTGTCTGTTAGGATTTGTTGGTATAGAGCTGTCACCCACACGGCTCTTTGTCTGGTATTAAACAAGACAAGTGCAACAGAGAAACATGAGAAGTGTTAATAATGCTGCAAGTCAGCTGCAAAGAACTTCCAAAGCTAGGCCTAGGATGCAAAATTTTCATCAATTAAATTGAAAGCTGTATTTTTAACAATAAATTTTTAAAAATTCTTATTTGAGTTAAAAAAAGCCAAACTTTACATATCTTCATTTCCATATCTTCCTTTTCCCTATCTTCTTTTCTTCCTTTCCAAGTAAATACTGCTTTCTTATTATATCAGATATGGCACAAAAACCACTGCTCTTGGTTTGGCTGTGAACCTTGCTCTGTTTTTCAGAGATGTTATTGAACTAAACAACACAAGTTATGATTTTGCCAGGGGCTTTTATGAAAGTTAACCCTGATTAGAGGAATATCCTCCCATGTCTAGGTAGGAACATAGAGAGTCTCTGACTTGGTTAAAAGTGCAATGCACAGACCTAAGATCAGCTCTGTCCTTCAGACAAATGATTCAACCTCCACACATGAGGTCTGTGTGTCATATAAAGAGCAGAAAGAGAAGCCTGAGGGGAAAAAGGAAGTTTCCCAAGAAAAGAAGATTTTCAGTTGGTGTACAAAGCTGCCTCTGCAGTGGCCCTGCCTGGGCTGTGTTTAACACCAGCCCAGGGGCTCAGGGCAGGCACTTCACCCCAGCTTCCCAAAAAATCACTGAAGGGTGTCCAGCTCCTCCAGAGGCGCTTCAGAGCAGAAGCCATATGTGTGGACTCTGAATTACTTTCTGAAATAACATCCTCTGTGTTTAATCTTTCAATAGTCCAGGAAACATTGCCTTCCTCATTTAGGCACCTGTGTTAGGCACAGGTTAGGCCATCAGAATTGCCTTACACATCTTTTCCCCTGAGCCTCTGCACCCCATCTCTGATACCATGACAAATTTGGCTGAAGCTGAAGTAGCAGATTTTATCAGAGCAGTAACTGGTTCAACCACACTCTTCCTGCTCTGACACTTCTGGGTGTTTGCATGCCTAAACAGCACCTCAGGCTTTGATCCCCTCTCGAGAGCACGCGCTCTTAAATGTGACTATTTTTGGTTCCGTGTCTGTGACCATCTCCTCCAAGATGAAAGAGCATGGGATGACGATGCCTACGTATGCTTGTGGATTGCTTTCATCCTGCTTTGTGAAAATCCTTTTACAGGAAGAGTACACTGCATTTTTACGGACACGCAGTGACTGTTAGCCTCCTGTATTTCACCTGAATGTCAGTTTATTTACTTGTAATTTGTCACACTTTGATAAAATCATTTCCCATTTCTGAGAAGACAGCACACCGATTAATAAAAACTCCAGACCACTGCTTGTCCTTCCTGCTGTGATCTGTGGGCATAGAACACATTGATACATTTTTCTGAAACAAGTGACATAGAAGAGTGGTTTAAACTTTTTGAACAGAAAAGTTATAACAAAATTTCTATGAAAAAGTCAGTACATTGTGCATGTGATTGACCTCCATTATAAAACACATTTTGATCTGTGGATGAAAACTACTGCATAAAAACTAATTATTAGTATGGAAAAGACCTCTAAGATCATTGAGTCCAACCTTCAACCTCTCACTGCCAAGTCCACCGCTAACCCATGTCCCCAGGTGTCACATCTCCACATCCTTTAAATGACTCCAGGGGTATTAAAAGGTATTTAAAAGACTCATCCATTGTCCTGGGCACATGTGCCAGGACTTGAGAATCCTTTCCATGAAGAAAGTCTTCCTAATATCCTAAACCTCCCCTGGTGCACCTTGAGGCCATTTCCTGTTTTATTATCACTTTTTATTTGGGAGAAGAGGACCACCTTGCTACAACCTCCTTTATGTCACTGAGTACTTTAGTGCTGCTCTGTGACAAATCCAAGCTTTACTTGAAACCTACCTCATCATCTGTGTGTTACCATATTTCTTCTAAGAAATTTGCTATTTAAGAGCTGAATGCCTTAGAAAATAGAATTACTATTTGCTCTCACACCAGTTTTCCTCTGTACTACAAACTGAACGAAAACAAAGCAGATACAACTGGACAGTTTTATTGTCAAGCTGACTAGATTTCATAAAGCCATTCACAAATTTATTTTGAGTATACCCTGTATTTCTGTAAGACCAAAAATATTGCCCTCAGTTCTGTAAGATTTCAGCTTTTTCTTGACAACCCCCCTGCTCCTTTTGGATGTTTTTTAGTCTTTTTTTTAACTTCTTTAACAGGCAAACTGAATCCTGCCTCTTGACAGCATACCAACATACCTAAAACAAGAAAATGTATGTGCTGAATGCTTCTTTTGCTACAAGCTTCAGATCAAGGCTTTGATGGGAAAAACACATTCTTTTTTGAAGGCTGAAACACGTCAGCAAATGCTGCTGCAATATATCTGCTTTACTATAAAGAAAAGCCTCTTTAAGGAAGGGCTGTGAATTCACATTCCCAATCCAAACTGTGCGTCACACTCTGAATTTCCTGGTCTGATAGCACCACTAAAATGCTTCCCAGAGACTAAATTCAGCTTTAATTCAGGTTTGTGTGGCCAGCAGAGAATTAAGGAAACCCCACAGTGGGGTCTGATGGCTCTAACAACTTCTGTGCTAACTCCCAGATTCCCACCACACAGAACGCAGCCAGGGAAAGGAGCCTTCCTCAAAAACAAATGTTTCAGAGGAAGATGAAAGAATCCCTATCCAAAGTAGGCAATTCAGAAGTAGTCCAGCCTCTAAATGACATTTCCTTTTTAGCCTCCATTGAACATTAATGATTACAACTCTACATTTTTAGCTTGTTTTATGATGTTCTTTCTACATTACATCACACTACCTGGTGTATAAAAACAATGGAATGAAAGCCTCTAATTTTAGCTGTCATAAGTTAAAGAATAAATGGCAGCAGAAGCTCTCACATATAATTGCAGGATTTTAGGTGACTACAGAAAAATGTCTCTTTTCTGTACGTGCACAAATGCTCAAGCCTCCAAGCAAAATTTCAGGAACTGAACGAAGTTGTGTGTGCTCAGGAGTTAATGGTGAAGGTGTCACTGTGCTCAGAAATAGAGCCAACTTCCCCATGTCACATTCAGCTTATTAATAACCCATTATTTCTGTCGCAATGGCACATGTCTCTCCACTCCTTGTTATTGTTATGCAACTGGAAGAGCTTTCAGAATCTCTCCTGGCTGAGCTTGAAGAGGTAAACTGTAAAATCCAGCTTGAATTGAGCTTTATGCTGAAATGCTACTGCAATTCACCCGAAGAATGCTGAGTGACATAGAGTATGCAATTATGCAAGAAGAGTGTTTGCAACAAGCCATCTTGGAAGTACTTCCATTTGTGAGAGGATTTTTTTCATATTCTGAATCTGAATACATTAAAAAGCCTGTAATCACTTAATAGAGTCAAATCTGCAATTCTTAATTCTGAATATCTTCTATAACAAAATGAGCTTCTCAATTCTTGTGATTAACTTGCAAACAAAGCCAAATACAAGAAGCTGGCTCAGAAAAATCAATGCGGGAAATCACTGCCAGATTCCTCATAAATATTTCTGCCTTAGAAACCACTGGAATTTACACTCTCTTTATCACACATTGTATAGGACTGTATGCAATTACAGCACTTCCTACACAAAATAATACAGATCTGGGTAAGATCTTGCATAAATGGGTATGAAAATTCTATGCAACTTCCTGGCAAATTGCCAAAGTGGCCCTTATGCTTAGAAAGCAGCGCATCGATCTCGTCTGGTCCCTGTGTTTACACGTGTATGCCAATATTGCCACAAAGCTGCTTTGTTTAGATGTGCATTTTCACGACCTTGAAGCTCAGGATAATGTATTCTTCATTCTATTCAGCATCATCACACAAGGGTAGCTACAATCATTATAAAAAATCTCCAGTCGGAGAAGTGGGAAAAAAAAGGGACTTGGACTGCTCAGTTTCTAAATTAAGCTACATCTGAAGTTAAAAATAGCCCTTCCAACTGAAGATGCTATGCTGCCTGAATTTAAATAGCATGCTTCTTTCCCTGACAGATAACATTAATTGTGTTCTCTGCTGCAAAAAAAAAAAAAACAAAAAAACAAAGAAAGCCTTCTATAAGGAGGCTACCTTTATTTTTATGTCCAATTTCACTTCACCTACCACGACAGAATTAAAGAAAGTCAGTGTTCTACCTGGGAATTGTATCAATTTTGCCACAGATTAAATTCTCCAATTTTGCTAAAACAGACCTAAAACAATGCATGTTATGCATGTGTGACCTTTCCCAGCTCTTCCTGCAGAATTTTCTGGGAAGGTCTGTAGTAAGAATATTGTCTGAAATTCAATCTGATTTCTACCACACATCCTCAAACTGCTTGTGCCATCTTTTGTTTTCATTTACTTAACATACACACACACACACACACATATATATAAAATATATAAATATATAAATCATATCTATTTCTAGATATTTCATTGCTGTTTCTGGATAAAAAGAAGTATGAAATGCAATACATGTGAAATGGTTTACTCACCACTTTTCCCCAAAGCACTGAATGAAAAGGAGAAGCTGTATCCCTTTTCTGTCCAGGCCTAACACAGAAACAGCATAAGGATTTCTATATTATCCATATTCCTACTGTAGTCAGAGGCTGAGAGGTCATAATTAAGGTACAGAGGGCCCGCTTGTGCTACTCACATAGTAATTCCAAAATTGGTTCATAGCACATGTAGATTAGAAAGGTAAAAATTCTTTCAAGCTACTCTGATCCTTCTCACCAGTTTGAGTTAGTTCTTTTTGTCAGAATTTCTGGTGCTCCAATCTGCATAGTTTTAAATTCCAGTCCCTGTATTCATGCTCACCCCTGGGAAACTGTTAATTTTCCTCAATATTCATTCTAAATTTACTGTGCCTTAATTTCATCGTTTTATGAGATTAAAATCAATCAGATTCACTTTTACCTTTTAGGCAAGAAAATAAGAAAGGTGCACTTCTAATGTTCAAAGTGAAACTTGAATCTTGCTGTATTGAGAAAATTCTGCTTTCCCCCTCTTCGTTAAATTGCAGATTTTATATGAGCATTCCCAAAGGAATACAACAGAGAGACTCAGGAATAAGTAAATGAAAGATGAGATGGATATAAATACTCCTCTAACCCCCGAGCAAGACTTCCACATTAGTCACTTTGTGGACTAAAACCCTGAAAGATCCCCAAAAGCTTTATGAGCATCAATAATATTTGCAGTGATGTAAGCCAGAGGCAGTGATGTAAATTCTGCAGTCCCTAATTGAATAAAACACCCATGGAAGTCAATAGGAATTGCAGTCAATTAAGCTGTAAATATTTCAGGTCCTGAGCTTTTTACATAACGTTACCAGATGGCATCTCTGAGTAGTTTCATCTGTGCAGGGCAGTGTTTGCTCAGAGGCCTCTGTGAAAGCAGGCAGTCCTGGGGCAGGTGTGGAGTCACCAACTCCCACCACCCTCTGGCAGGGGGCCACATCACTTGTCCAGGTGGAAATATGAGGCTGCTTCACATGAAGGCATCAAGCAGCAAGAGCATTGTATGGAAGGGGGCTGAATTTGGCTCAAATTTTAGGTAAAATGGTAAATAAAGTTAAATCCTCATGAAATTTGATGTGAGTGCCCAGAGCCCGTCAGAGGAATGAAATTTCTCTGACCAAGTGAACCCAAGCTGTAGCCAGAGCTGTTAATTACTTCCCAGTAAATGGGTATGTGTGTGGTGAGTCCTGCCATGTACAGAACAGTTCCTACTGCCCTTTGCTGTTACTCCCTAACTCTGCTTTATCCCAGCTGTGAGAAATGAGATCCACACGTGCTGCCCTGAGGAATGGCAGAGGAAGCAGGGTTTGTGTGCAGCCCTGGCACTGAGGATGGTTTAGGATCACTCCTGCTGCTGGAGACAGGGCTGTGGCTGCCAGAAGCCATTCACAACGTGCTGTGTCAGGAGCTTCACAAAAGCACACAATAATACATGTAATGAGTCTCCAGAATCACATTTGTGAGGCCTGCAGAATGTTTCTCTTTCCCAATGTGAATTACTGAGTCATCCTCTTCATGTGAGACAGACTGAATTCTCTTCCCAAAGAGCTCCTTTGAATCACTATTACCACCAGATAACAGATGTTGCTCTCCAGGAAAGTTTTTTCATACAAGCTCTTATAATCATGGGGATTATTTCAATTTGACCTTGTAACTACAACAGAAAAACAGGATGAACTGGGGGGTCTCAGAGGGTTGTGCTGCAGTACTTTGCATTTCTAAGTAACTAGGCCTTGAACAACATGGCTACTCAAAATACTACACAAAGAATAACAGGAACACCCATAGTCTTATAAGGTAAATGCTACTAATCCCAGTTTACATGGGGGAGGAAACAAGCCCTGAAGCGTTTAATGGACTTGTCTGGCATCACGCAGCAGCTACATAACAGTTCAGCAATAAGTGATGTAATGTTCAAAAGCATCTCTATTTGAAACTTAGAGCCTATGGATGTGCAATGAAACTCAAGTTAAATACTTTGAAAATAGGACTAAAATTATAAATTGGAAGCTTTTAGTAAAAGTGCTCTAAAGTGCCCATCTTCTATCAACCACTTCTGTTTTAAACCACAAGACATTTTCTCTCTCAGTACTTGCTCAAAGTGAACCATACCACACACTTTAAAAGACACATTGGCAATGCTGTAACACTTTCCAAATTTCAGTCTTTCCTAACCATGCATATTGCTGGGCAAGCAGCGCTAATGCTTTCCTTTTGCATGCCTTTGTTGTGTTTCTGAATTGCAGTTTTGGATGATGGAGCACATTTTCACCACTCTTTTTTCAAAAATGCCAGTAACTGACAGTTTAGAATGAGACATTTATGTTGCAACTATTCTGTGCCTTCTGGGACCACTTTAACTAAGTAAATGCAATTAAATTATTCTTTAATGCTCTGAAAACACATGTACCATGATTTCACACCAGAGTTTTGGAGTTACATCACCAGATCCCAGAAGCAACAGAGCTATGCTTACTCATAGCAATGAATAGTCAGGCCCAGGTAATGAAATAACAACCTGGTGATAACAAAATACAAAAGCATAAAAATCATCATTGGTTTGATAAAAATGAATTAGTAAATTTTTCATCTGATGTTCTCATTAACCACTACAGTTACATATTAAAACTCACAGTATTCCTGTGAGATATAGATCCAGAGAGATACAGCTCATTGAAAAAACCTACAAACCAAAAATGTAATCTATTCCAGATCATGGATAGATGATGTCTACCAGATAAAACAATCCATCAGGTCAGGAGAACTGACCTCCAACAGCAAAGGCCACAGTTCAGGCTGAGCTGTCCAGAGCAGAGATAGCATTATCCTGTTATCAATAGTGATTTGTTTTGTCACACACTGTGTTTAGAAACTATTGTTCCCTCGATGACTATTTACCTTCATTTATTTATTGCTTTCTGTTTCTCAAGGGATAAGGAGTTTGGACTACTGAATGTTTCTAGACATCCTTGAACTTATCCAGCCTGTCTCAGTCTCTCCTGGAGAGACTTCTCCTTTTGGCTTCCCTTTTGCCATTCTGACATGTCCCCCCTTTCATGAGCATCTCCTTGTTTTTCAGCCTGTGCCATACTTTCTCATCCTGGTCTGAAGCCTGACTTTTTGTCAGTGGATCACTTTGTGCTGTTAATTATTCCTCTCCTCAGGGCCACAGATACCTTGCCTGAATTATTGGCAGTTATTCTCTGCACAATACAGCTACAGAGCATTTTCAAGTTTGAAAGAGAGATGGTGAAGCAGATAGACAGGGAAAAGGTGGACAGAAAGATAAGGAATGAAGCTTGTTACCCACCATCTTCTCCAGAAAGGTTTACCTCTGAATCTCTCATTTGAAAACCTACTTTCCTAGTTACCTGCCTTATCTAAATGTCATCATGTTATTTCTTTGTCAAAAGACAGCACCTAAAATAATACAAAACTATCATTCAGCAGTTCTGCTTCCCAGATTACTATAAATAGTGAGATCATATGGAATGCTGATAAACATTAGATAACAGTACATTTTCTTTGAGTTTACTGATTTTTTTCTTCTACAGTGCAAGCATTTAATATTATTCATACCCTAAACTGCTTAAAAGTGATATCCAGCACACAGATGTCAAAAAACAGCTACGATTTTTAGAAAGGGAAAAGTTTCTGAACAAACATATTTTCTCAACAGCCTGATGAAAAGATCATTTTCATCTTAGACCTTTAAAATTGTCACTTTGAATTCTCTTCTCTCTCACCTATACAGATGCAGACTCACTGCTGCGCTCCAGTTGTTTTGATAATGCAAAGCTATCATAAACACATCTGAACACATAGCAACACTTAAAAATTAGCAACTGGAATTTACCATGCTAAATTAAGTACCCCAATATATTTTTCTGCTGGGGAAAAGTGTGAGCCAAAATTACACTTTTTATATATGTGCAGTATCAGAAAATAGAGTGAAATGAATATATGCTTTATTCTGGTTTATATATACCGTGCCCATCAGGACAGGTGAGATTGCCAGGATGTGAAGCACATGTGTAGGTGCACATATATTAAGCAGCAAACAGTAATTTGGATGAGACAGTTACTAATTTGAACTTTGATATATTGGCAATTCTACAGAAAAACAATACAACCACCTCATCAATTGTCCTTCTTTCCCAGGAAGGCATCACACAAACAAGGAACTGTGCCAGATTAGTTCTAGGGGGTCATTTAAAACAGCAACAACAAAAACCAAATGAAACCATCCCAAACCAACCACTTCAATCACATCCACCACAGCCCAGATTACAGGTAAACACTTCACAGAAACTTCTGAGGTCATTTGGAACATCTGAATAGATTTTTTTTCCTCCTTTCTCATGTATTGTTTAGGTGCCCTTTCATGCAAAAGAACAAAATCTGGGCCTATTCTGTGAGGCAGTGACCACCACCAGCTTACACTACTGATCCCAGTGCTGGGAAAAAGGTTTGCAGCCTGAAGGCTCCATTCTCTCATTGTCCATAGGTGAGGAAAGAGTCACCTGTGAGCCTGCAAGTGGCTATTCAACAGAAAACATTTAAAACCAACAGGAGTTCAACATCTTCAGCACCCTATGGGACAGGACTCCTTTCTGGATTTTCAGTTCCCAGCTGATGTGGCCTAATATACACATACAGCACAACGAAGAGTATCCAGAACTTCCCATTTGCCTGAGAGACAACCACACTTCATGCTCTGAAATCTGCATTACAACACTCAATGTGTTTCTTATTTTTAATTAATTCTTCTGAAAATATTTTGGGGATGAGTGGATGTATATGGTGATTGCAGTGCTGAGAGAGGATGTGGGGTTCATAATTACAAAGAGAACCAAATCCTGCCCTCCTGTATATGCAGCACTACTAAGATTTCATTGTTCACATTAGGCAAAACCTCTCTAATTTTAAGGTCAGTTACATGTATAACAACAACTACAACAACAACAACAAAATAAAGTAATGTGCTCAATACTTTGAATAAATCCAGACAGGACAGTAATAAAATAGAAAATTCCTCACTTACCTCAATAGTTGTAAGCTGTTATTTCATACTCTGTAAACTTTCCCTCCCTGCTAACTAAACAAAAGTTCTGCAATCTCGATGCTAGAATAGCTCTCAAATACATACTGCAGAATACCAAAAAAGAGAAAGCCTATGTTGTCCTTACTAGCAGGCATCTCTCCAGGGATGATTGGTCATTACCCTGGCAACCCTCACAAATGGCAAATGACGTAAAGAGAGTGGGAAAAAAAGCCTCTGAGAGAAGAAAGCACTATATGCATTATAGATAGTTCTGGGAATCCATGCTCACATATGCATTAAATGGCTTCAGAGGAGCACAGGGACCTTCCATTTTGCAGAGCTGCCTGCTGAGGTGAATAAGAAACTTTCTAATTTTTTTCTTAATCAAAACATTGGGAGCATCTCTAAGTATTTAATTGAAGCAAATTGGGGGTTGATTATTTTAGTAATTCAGACACTGGGTTTATTCTCTTTTTTTTTTTTCCAATTCTGTTAAAATTTCCCATTAAAATGGCTCACAGTCATATTCAGACAAGGGTGGATGTATTTTTCATTATTCCTTTTCACCTTATTTGTTGCTACATAAAGTTACCTATTATTATATTTATTCCCTTTATGTCTCATACCTTCATTTTTTCCCTAACAATTCATTTGTAAAAATTGTACAAGAGCTCCCATGTTTATGTCATTAAAACATTAGCCATTGTATTCAGTGCTACTGAAAATTATGCCTAAAGAAGATGTAGCTCTAGCCAAACACCATGGGACAAAATAAAAAGCATTTTGCTATTTTTGCACAGAACGATTACAGTGAATTTGATCATACTGTGATCTGTCAGTCACACAGCAAGATGAATTTGGGTGTGGTTACTTCTTCCACAATTAGATTTTAAAAAGCACAAGTAAGACAAAAAGGAAATCTGCTTTGAGATTGTTTAGCATCTGCACCACTCTACAATTCAGTAAAACTGAAGGAATTCTGGGTACAAAACCCAAGAAAAGCATCTTCCACCCCTGCTTGCGTGTGTTACCAATTACAATCCGGGATCAGGCATCCTTCTCCTTGCTCTTTGTTAGATGTCAGATTTCTGCATTCCTAAATGTGCAAAAAACAACTTTCCAAGAGCATACTGGAGAGCATTAGCACTCAGATAATTTCATAACCTAAAGGAAAGGGCACAATCCTCTGAAATAAGAACTGAAGAAGCAAGTGAGGTGAGGTGGCTGCTCTAACCACTCAGCTATAATGGAAAAGCCGGATGGAAACGGCTCTACCCTGACAACTGAGTTTCCTGTTGAACTGATGGGAACATGTTAGGTGCATTTGAACTCTGCCCCACTCTAAACCTGCACTGAAATGGAAATAACCAGCAGCTTCCACAAGGATATTTCTGTCCCTGGCTGCCTAAATTCAATTAGTTACAGTTTTATGGAGTAAAAGTTAGCACTCACTGCAATTCAGATTGTTATTATTTTCCAAATCTACTATTCCATTGCAATCAGGAGGAAGGTGTTACACTCATATCATGACAATTTTCCAAAAAGCCTGAATGAGCCATTGGAAGTGGCTGAGTTTTATGACCAAAGAAGCAATGAACAGAAAGGATATTCCATAATGCTCCATTAGGTGTACTTTATTTATTTGCTGAAGACAACTCATTTTTAATTATTTAAACTCTGGCAACATCATACTAGCAAATGTTCTGCTGGGCTGTAATTGACAAATATCTTGGTCTGAGCAAAGTGAAATCTCAGTATAACATTACCTCTGATATTACATCTTTTTCCTGACAGAGAGACAAGGATTGCTTTGTGTTTAGAAACCACAGAAAGCAAAGTTTAGCCATTTGTGCAGGGCCAATGAAAGCTCTATGTTCCCATAAACCTTCATCCTGATGGTCCAAATCTAAGCTTCTAATTTTTTTTACAATTACTCTTTGCAGAAATTGAAATCCAAATACAAACTTTCCATCAACCTTCCCCTCATTATCAAAACTAAACAAAACTTCTACCATTGGTGTTCCCAAAGTTGCTTTTGTAAGAACAAATGTGGCCTGCCATGGAAATATTTTGTATGAAATGTCAGTAGAAGTAAGACCAAAATTATTGAAATATAAAAAAACTTTGTGTGTTTTTGCAGCACAGATTGAACAGAGATTTCTGTGTTTTGTGGTCTTAACAAAACCTTCATATTTTCAGATCATATCCAGGCCTGTCAACTTGCCTTTGTCTGAGCATGTGAGATTGACTCATGCGAATGTTCTGGGCAGCACAACAGGGACAAATCCAGGCAATGAGCGAGAAGATGGGGAAGACACTTGTGCAAAGCTGAAGCCAGGACAGAAAGAGTTTTTAATGGAGTCTTAGGAAGAGGCACAAATGAAGAAAGGGTTGCCAGTCCTTAAAGGACCCTTTCTATACACTGGTATAATTTGCCAACACATTAGCAAATTAAATTAAAAATTCATCAGTATGTTAAAAAAGACTGGAGACAGGAATCACTCAATAAGTAAATTATTACTGATTTTAAGTGACTCATCACAGAAAAGGATCAGCTCACTCAAGTGAGTGTGAATTAAAAGCTTTCAGCATTTTTCTGGCTGAACAGTTGAAATGCTTGTGAAATGCATCCTGTTGCAGAATCCATTCACTTAACTATACCTGTAGTGACCTGGTGTAAAGGACAATCATACCTTCTCCATACTTTCCAAATTCTGTCTTTTCTCTTAGGTGTGTCTACTCTGATCTGGTTGTTAGCTGAAAAAAAAAAAAATTAACTCAGGTTTAGCAGGCCCAATGTCCTTTATGCCACAGAGTTACAGAAAAAAATCCCAAACCTATCAGAACATATTATCTCTCCAAAAGCCCTTACACTGTCACATCATGTAAACATCAACGGGGAGAATGATTTTTCTTTCCTAGGCTATAGATATGATTCTGAACAATACCCTGTTGAGTAAGGACAATATATTCTTTTTCCTTCTCTGTCCTTCTAGAAGAAGGACAGACGTGTGCCTCGCCAGATGATGCCAAACCCATTATTAGTGTCCTTGCACTTCTCCATTAGCAATATTGCAGCAAGACCAGATGATGTCAAGGGTGTTCATGCTGAAAGATAACAACATTCCTTAGGAGGAGAAATTACAGCCTTTTAGCAATATCTGGCTTTCCCACAATTTAGCTTTATCTGGGAACATTATTACAGCGAAATTCAGTGAGATAAACTAAGGAATAGAAAGTACTAACTTTCAAAAAATGCAAACATCTGAACAGGAAGACACTGCTGTAAAGCAGTATCCTTCACTACCCCATTTTAATCAAATCCATGGACATGGTCTGCATTTTAACATAGATCCATCCAAACACAGGAGTTGTTCTCTGACTCTGCATTTTTCCCAGTTCCTGCATTTGTCATCCAGCACCGCAGTGACCCAGACCTGCCCTGCTGACCCCATAAACCCTGTGCTAAAATACTCCAGTGGGTGACAATCACTGTAATGGGGAATGCTGGGGCAGGAACACTGGAGCAGTTCTGACCAGAGGGGACAACAGTAAGTCCAACCAGCCCATCACACCACAGGGGTCAGGGCCACACGTGCAGGTGGTACCTGCAGAGTCTTTGCTGACTTGCTCTCAGGGCTGCTGGTTCAGATTGAAGCCAGCCAACCAAACCACAGTCCTGAGGGGTGCCGCAGCCTCAGGATCCTCACAGCTTGGACTACAACTCTCAGTGATCAGCAAATCTGAGGTGCCCAGCACTGGCTCTCCCTGTGCTGCCACTGGTGAGCCTGAAAATGCTCATACACACGTAGAGAAACCACGTCTGCAGCTCTGATTAAGGCAGATCTAAACAAGCCATCGAAAATAAGCAGCTTCTGGGAAATACAGTTTAAAAGGCCTGGCTTCCTCCAGTTTTGTTTCATGTTTAGATTCTTTTGTGTGTCTCAAAAAAGCAAAAATTTCTGATCAAAGCTTTTACTAGGATAAAGATACTCATGCAGTCTGTGTTCTACATGGATGATCTGTTGCCAGCTAATATAACACAGCTTATGCTGCAGCCTTATCATTTGTGGAAGCAATCAAAAAGGTAGCATGAGCCCTGTTTCCTAAAACACTGGTTTAAAAATACCTGAGACTTGCTTACATCAGTTCTCCCTATCATAAGCATCCCACAGTGCTAGACAGATTTCTATATCTATTTTTCTTGATTGCTCAAAGAAATCAAGCAATTAATAAATACAAAATACCAAGATTTTCATGGAGTGGTGCTTTTATATGCTGTTTATGCTCTATGAGAAAGAACATCCCTGACCGCCCTCCTAGCCAGGACTCTCTATGCCACACCTAATTCTCATACATAGGAGTAAATAATGAAGACTACCCACAAATGTAAGCTGACATATCAGGACTCAAGGAAAATCCATCATCTGCAGATCTGATCAGGTTCTCCACTGTACCACATCTTTTTCTGATAACACTTGGAAACACTCATTCCTCTCCATTTCACTTGCAAGGAAGATGTCTTGAGTATGATGCACAAAATTTTGCCGTACTGAAATAAAAGACACTCTGTCAGTGTGTAGAGAGAGAAGAATCAGTCTCCAAGATAACCATATAAGCAGAAGACAAAGGGATTACAAATTTGCATGTGATATTAAAGTCAGAATTCTTACATTAGTTATAAAAATCCCATGAACGTATCTGTTAAAGCAATTTCAAATCATCAAACAATAAACATCAACAAAGGCAAAGATCTTAAATATACCATGCCAATACTTTTTAAAATGGAGCATAATAATGCAGATGTGTGCTGATGCTGTAATTCAGCAGCTGACACCTTTGAACAGCTGTAGCATGACTGCCCTGCGATAGATCTTTTGTGAATTAATATTCAGATAAAGCACTGCAATCTGAAGCTTCCCTCTACAAACTGGTAATTTTTAACAGAAACAAACCCTTTTCTCATCAGACTTCTTGCTGCAATGCAATTGCATTGCTCTACATGCTCATTTTGGATGACAGAGTACCTACTTGTCACTGTAATGACCTGAATGAATTCAAGAAAGAAAAGACAATCACTTTGCAAACATGCCCATCCAGCAAATACACTGTTGTTTTTCCTCACTACTGTTTAATAATTTAGTTTACAACTATATATATATATATATATATTTGGTGATACAGTAATGCTTGTGAAATGCTTACATAAATCTAAACCCCCAAGCCAACACTTTGGTTTTTGAAGCCCACAGAAATAATGCTGCTCTCACTTGTATTCCAAACCCTGCAGCACCATGTGCATTGCCAGTGTCTCTGCCCCTGCTTTGCCTGTGCCCTCTCCTGGTGGCAGAGCACACAGGACAAATGTGGTTACACCAACACCTCCCCTGCACAGCAAACATTTCCTGATGCCAAGTGCAAACAGCTCTCTGAAGTAAACCAGACCAAGATTCCAAGCCTGATGGTGACACAAAACGTGTCACTAGGTCTGTAGGATGAGTGGTGAGCACACCCTTACAGCTCTGCTCCCCACACTGCCGCATTTCACCCACAGAGCCTCTGGAACAGGGCCTGAGGTTCTCCTCTCTCAGAGGAGGAGGATCCCATTGGGATTCCCCCTTTTGCACAGAACCATGGCTCTGAGCTGCATGGCACCATGGCTTGAAAATGCTACTGAGGCAACCCAGCACCTCCTGGAAAGCCAGGAATAGGGATTCGAACCTTGCCACGCTGCATCTGGCCTGGAAGAACATCAGTGCTCCATGCACATTCCCACTGTCACCAGGGGATCAATGCCCTCATTAATGGCAGGGCTCAGGTGACACAAAGATCTTCTGTTTGTCAGGCTAAGCCGGTTCCCAGCTCTAAGGAGCTTTGTTTCTGCAGATGAGAGGTACTGAGCCAGGTCAGGGTTGGCCCAGCTGCCAAGTAAATAAGCCCTGCAAGAATCCAGAGTGACTACAGACCAAGCACTAAGCCTGAAACAGCGAGTTCTGCCAGATCTGAGCTGAGTGAGACATACGTGCACAAGAGACTCATTTGAGAAGGGCCATACAGACACACTTCAGTTCTGGCCAGGGCCAGCTCAGCCCAGAAGACCAATACCTCAGAACCAGTTCCAGGCAAGTATTGCTGTACATTGCTGATCAAATCTGGCTCTGTGATTCCTTACTCTGCCTGATCTGAACAATGAAAGGGTCTGGAGGCCTCTAATTGTGTTTCCCAGGAACCACTTACAGAACAGAACTATAAAGTAGTTCTGTTATTACATGGTTTCCCCCCTATTCTCCAGCATATCCTAGTCACTATCACTCCAGACAGTCAGATGGAAGCTCAGCATGCTCTCTGAAATTGAGTCAGGCCATCCATGGGTGAGGGAAAGTTGACTGTGCATTAATGGCAAGCACCATCACCCTTTCCTTCAATCATGTTCTAGAATGAGAGTGAGTCATGGCTCTTTTGCAGAACTAGTTAAACACACCAGCTCCAAAAGAAGATTCTGGAACATATAGCCTCAGGACTGCCTTATTGGAGTCACAGAGAGATTTCAGACACATCTCCGTTCCTCAGAATTTTCAATTGCTAAGAACCAAACAGCCTCTACGGTGCTTATCCAGGTTTAAGATGTGTCTGTCTTTAGTATATTTTATATGAAACAGTCCAGTGCTTGGACTTCAGTCTAAGATAAGAACCTAAAAGTCATTGTGCCAATGTTGAGGCTCCTTAGTGAGGCTCAGCATTTAATTTCTGTTCTTGCTCATTTTCTGCAGAAGGAGAATGATACTCAGCATCCCTGTGAGGAAGGGAAGTATTTAAATTGACAAAGCACCCAAGTAGTTTAGCAAAGAAAGTGGAAAATTGAGAGGTCATACAAAGTTATTGAGTGAATAAATATTAATGATTATTTTGCTTTTTCATCTACAGAAGTTTTCCTAGTACACATAAACATTTAAGACCTCATCTGAAAACAGGCAAAATAAAACCTTTAACATGCATTTTGCAATCCAGAAGCAAGGAGGAACCCAGACATGATGAATAAGCCATTGTCCCAGCCAGTCTGCTGGCACTGCAGCCTGGGAGACTGGCTGGCAGTTGGATGGCACAGCTCAAAAGCAACAGGCCATCAGCCACCCCACGGGGAAGTGCTGCTTGTTGAGAAACAAAAAATCATTCTGTTCAGTTTTGGCTTGACATGTACATTGCTTTATGTTACCAAAAAGGTGAATGCACTTGCTTGAAACAATGAAGTCTTAAAAATCTTAAAGCAATAATTAGGAAACTTCTGTTTCTCCAGATTATCACTGATGAATTAATTTTTGCCTATAAGTTAGCATCATAATTTGATGTCTTGGTTCATGCCTCACTTTTAAATGATTCTTCTCTTTATTCCCATGGACAATTTATGCCAGTGTTTGGTTCTAGAATTATTATATAAATGTCACATACCGTAAATCAATATGTAATATTCCCGTGAGAAGCACATGGTTTGTGTCACACTGGCATCCACAACTCCTGCCAAGATATTATGGCTATTTGTACCAATATGGGAACCTAGATAAAATACAGTTATTGTTCCTATCTACCCTGATTTTATAATCCTTGCTTCTGATGAAATGAAGCAAAAATTATCAAAAGATCCACAAATATTTGGGTTCATTGAGGAAAGTGGTAGCAAAACTACAGATTTCACCTGCTTTTATGCAAACATAGGATGATGTGCAGGAGTTCACTGAAATAATCTGAAATTTGCTTCTCTGTAAATCAGGCTGGACTCTGCTGAAAACAGATGCCTCAAATCTATTTCTCTTGTGCATGGAACAGTGTAGAGTCATCCACCTGCTGCAAAGCAAAGTCACTGCAGAACCCTGTCAAACCACAGCTCTGCACACTTTCCACTGATGGAAACGCCCGGAACAGTACAAGGAAGACAAAAGTAGGATCTAGAGAGTTGTCAGTCTACATTTCCTTCCCCTTACACTCCAGACTTCTTGTGAATTGCATGGATTTGGCTTTGTTCCTTATGGCTATCAAATCCTGAGGCTTCTGGATACCAACAAGATTTCCAGGGCATGTTCTTGTGTTGAAGAAATAGTGAAGAAAACTAAAGCAGCAGAATGCTGCTTGTGTTGGTTTCTGTCTTTCAGGTCAGTCACAAGCAGCTGTTGTGCAGAGAGCAGGGTCTGGCTTAAAGTGTCACTTATCACTTGAATTCAAGGAATCATCACTGCAAAATAAAGTACAAGAAGGAGCTAAATGAAGAACCTCTGGCATGGTAATTCCAAATTTTCTGAACTGCTTTTCCCATCTGCAATTAATTCCTCCTTCTCAAAGAATTATGCCTTGAGTATTAGTGCCACATACTGGAAATCATGATAACACACTCAAAAATATTTCATAACACAAAATGAAGGTGCACTGGTTTTATGATGTATAGTTAATGAAACAGCAGGATTTATCTTTCTAATGCTAGCATCTATATGTTGTAGTCATATTGTACTATAAATTATAAAAGAATTTCTTAATTGCATGATAAAATTATGACTTTGCTCCTTAAAGAAACAGACTCAAATTGTGTGTCAAATTAAGTTCCTTGCCCTTCAAAGTTAGTAAATAAAATCATCTCCTTGTACTGTCATAATTGTGCTTAAAAAGCCCAACTCAAGTGGTTGTTCCTTGGAACTGTTGGATTTTACTACTTTTCCTATGTTTTGACACCCTCTCCCTTAAACAGGGATTGCTGACTACCAGCCCAATGTTAACTGCAGAAATTTAGGAGCTGCAGTACAAACACACACATCTAGGCTGCTTTTCCTCTTCACCAGCATAAAGTTTGCTGACATTTGTAGTGATTCGTTCAATTCTCAACAGCTTTACCAAGCTTATTTATTCAGCTCCCAGAACAAAACTACTGGGTGTACCAAATGTGAGTTTTGTCTTTTTTCCTGCCTCCCTGATTAAATTCAGTGTAAGCAGGGAGGTATAACAAACTTAAGTCACAGGTTAGGAAAAAAACCTTAAGGTTTTGTAGGAAGGTCTGAACTCCCTATCCAAGTAAGACAAAGCGAGCTCACGCCATTAATTTTTGGTTTATGGTGAAAATACAAGAAATACTTATTTTTTATCATTTATAGTCCAATCATTAGGTGTTATTAAGATTACTCATTATGCTATCCAAAACTTTATAATCAAATGTAAGTGTAACAAGTAATATATTCTATTAAGCTGGCTAAATCTAATCACTTGAAGATCCTTGCTACGGCATTACAAAAATAAGCTACCTATATTAGATAAACTTTAAAAGAACACAGAGCTTCCCATCCCCTCCAAAAAAACCCACTTCACATAAAAATTCAAAAAGGTGTACACCGGGAACACTTGCCCTTTAAGCCCATTCCCATGTTCTCCAGTTAAAATTTGAGTCTTCTCTAATGCTAACTGCTGAGATTTTTCTTTTGTTTTCTTTAATTCCTACAGCTTTAGAGTTAGCCATCTCTGGCTGTCCTGGCTGAAGACCAGGTTTGGCTGAGCGCTCTGACACCAAACAAGGCGATGTGAAATCCTAACTGGAAGTCCAGCTGTAAAGCTGGCAGCTGAACTGCCCAGCTCTGCCGACAAACCAGCCTCGGGGACCAGGGGCTCTGCCCCAAGCAAGAAGGGAACCACACGAGGCAGGACATTTAAAATAGACTTCAAAAGCATTTTATTCTCAATGCAAGAGCCCAACAGAGCAGTGACAGCAGCAGGGGAATCACAGAATCAGTTACGTTGCAAAAGATCCCCAAGATCATCAAGTCCAACCTGTGCCTGGCACAGTTTGAGATTACAGCCTCTCGTCCTGTCAGGTGGAACTGGGGAGGGCCCAGGAGCAGCGGCTCCTTTCCAGAGTCCCGATGCTCTGGAGTCATCCCGCTCCTCATGTGGCAGCGAGTTCACCCTACGAGCCCTCAGGATTCACAAGCCACCTCTCCCCAGTCCAGCCAACCCGGCAGCCTTCCCCATGTCCAGTTCTGGGCTCCTCAGTGCAAGAGGACAGGGAGCTGCTCCAGCCGAGGACGATGAAGGGACTGCAGTGTTTCGTGAGAAGCTGAGGGAGCAGAGCCTCTCCAGCCTCGGAGGAGGTGACCTCAAAGTCACCAGGGAGGTGTCAGAGGATGGATCAGGCCCTTCTCAGGTGGTGCTGAGCAACAGAACAAAAGATAAGGGCAGAAACTGGTGTAGAGGAAGTTCCACCAGAACGTGAGAAAACTTTGCTGTGCAATGACCGCTCACTAGAACGGATTGCCCATAGAAGATGAGGAGTCGCCCTTACTGGAGATACCCCAGAACGCTCTAGACGCAATCCTGTGCCACGTGCTCTGGGACGACCCTGCTGGCGCTGGGAAGTGTGACCAGAGGATGCAGTGTGGTCCCTTCCTGCCCGAACCGTCCTGTGCCTGCTCGCACGGCCCGCAGCGCACCAGCCCCGCTCCCCTCACCCCCGCCCGCCTCCGCCCTCTGCCCATCCCCGCCCGCCGCTCCCCTCACACCGCCCCCCCGCCCCACACTCCCTCGCCTGCCCGCCCTTCGCGTCCGGCTCCAGGATTGGCTGTCCGCGGTAAGGTCCCGCCCCCCGCCGCTCGGGATTGGCCAGTTCTGCCCGCGCGGCGCTGCTATTGGCGGGCGGGCGACGGCGCTGCGGGTCGGGCCGGGCCGCGGGCGGGGAGCGTGGCCGGGGCGCTTTTGTTGCTGGGTCGGCGGCGAGAGGAGCGGGCGGGGAGCGCGGGGCCCGCGGACACCGGGGCAGGCGGGGAGCGGGGCCGGGCGGCGCGGGCACGGCGGACGGCGGGGCCGGGCCCAGCGGCAGCCATGAGCGGCGGCGTGTACGGGGGAGGTGAGTCCGGCGCCGCCCTCCCCTCCCCCGCCCCGCGAGGCGGCGCGTTTGGCCCCGGCGGGCGCTTCCCGCCTCCCTCCGCCCGGCCCGGCGCTGCCGCGGCCGCTCCGCGCCCCTCGCGTGAGGCGGCGGCGGCTGCGGGCCTTGTTTGCTCCTTCGCGGCCCCGGCTGCCTCCCCAGCGCGGCCTGGGCAGGATCCGCTGTACCGAGGGCCGGGGAAGGTCCCCGCTCTCTGGGAGCCGGGTGTGGTTCCCCGAGCCCCTCTGCGCGCCCCCCGTGACCACCGCTCGTTTCCGACAGGTTTCCTTTGGGATGTGCATAGATCAGCAGCGATCGGGCCCGTAGGAATGAGCGCTTCGCGCCCTGAGCCCTTCCGTCACACAGTTGATGTTTTCACCACCTTCCTCATCCTCATCACCCGCGGGGGCTCTGGGCTCGCCTGGCTTCGTGTGACTGCTAAATTAGAACTTCCTGAAAGCTTTATCTTGCCATCCGTTTAGCTGCTACTACTTTCTCCCTCTTCTACTAAAATTTTCTTCCTAACACCAAAAAGGGATTGCAATGCCCCATTTAAAGCCTGTCTGCAGTTTTCCAATAGCACTCTGGTAACGGGAGCTCTGAATAGAAAAGTTTGTCCTTGCTTTGTAAAAGATCCTTTGATTTGCTTGTCTTGTTTGCCAGTAAAGCAGGCGGTGGGCAGGGAAAGGTCAGGGTTGCAGAAGAGCATAACCATTCTTTATTAACAATCTTTTCAGATGAAGTCGGGGCACTGGTTTTTGACATTGGCTCGTACACAGTGAGAGCAGGCTATGCAGGCGAGGACTGCCCAAAGGTGAGAGAATCTGGGCCTCGATGGAAATTGAACATGAATTTATGCCTTAGGTCTTCTTTCTGAGTTACAGCCCTTCTGAATACACTGGGGCTTGTTCTGACTGTATTGTATAAAGAAACGTAGGAATTTATGAGAAAAACACCAATTTCCAAAACATTACTAATCCTTATGTACTGCTTGCCTCTTGCCTTGCAGGTGGATTTTCCAACAGCCATTGGTGTGGTGCTAGAAAGGGACAATGGCAGCACTCTGATGGAGATAGATGGTGACAAAGGCAAACAAGGGGGCCCAACTTACTACATAGACACCAATGCTCTGAGAGTTCCAAGGGAGAATATGGAAGCCATTTCACCTTTAAAAAATGGAATGAGTATGGTGCTCTTGTCTTTTTCTACCTGATTTTAAAATATCATTGCCAGGAAGTTGTAGTTGTATTAGCAGCTGTTATGTACAGCAACAGAGGCCATAAGAATAGATTCCTGGTTTGCAAATTGCAGGGAGATGTCGTTGGGTTTCAGTGTTAGTGGGCTTTCAGCATAATTGTTGAAGTGTAGTGGTTGTGGAGGAAGAGAATTCTGCAGATCTGCTAGAGGAGATGTGTATCTGCTGAGGACAGCTTTTGACTGAAGAGCTCTATGCAAAAAACTAAATTGGAAAGCCTTTATGTGTTTATGAAATGAAACAAAACTTAGGAGTAACTAACCTGTTTGTCTCAATGTTGTTATAGTTGAAGACTGGGATAGTTTCCAGGCAATTTTGGATCACACTTACAAGATGCATATTAAATCTGAAGCAAGTTTGCATCCTGTCCTTATGTCTGAAGCACCAGTGAGTAAAACCAACTGTGCATTATGATAAGTCTTTTTGCTAACTCTGCAAACATTTGTCCTGGATAAGTCTGACAATGGCTTGTAGGTGACAAGTACTAAAATGTAGCTACAGAAATGACAGTTTTAAAAACTTGGACAGCTTCTGGAAAATGTCTAAAAAACCATCATTTTGAAATAGTTTGTATGAGTTGTATTAGAAAGTATTTACAATATGCTATTGTTTTTCACTTACTGAAAAGAAGCCAAAAGTTAAAAAAAGAAACTTTACTGCCTAGAATAAAGAGAAAAAAGATGTTTGGATATCTTTTATATTAAGTTACACTTAATAAAATGCCATCAAAAATCTTGCTTCATTCAGCTTTACCAGTAGTATTAAGTGACACAGAACAATATTTATAATGGAGAAGTTTTAATTTTTCTGTCTTTGTTTCTGTAAGTGGTCCTGTAAGGCAGCTGAAGTGGATGAAAACAAATTTTAAAATGCTCAGCATTTGAAGGCAGATCTTGAAAGTCAGAGTAGAAGAGGTAGACATGCCATAGACAAGTGATGCTTTTCTGTAATAAAACCTTATGAATATTATTTTCTTGAATTTCATTGTTTCCTTGTGTTGAACCACAGCTTGTGGAGTGTGGATGAATTTGCAGTGGCTGTTTGATGGTTCAGTGGATGTCTGAATAGAGACATTTGCATTGAAATTCTCCTTACAAACCTCATCTTACTTTCTTGTATTGGCTTGGAAAAAATTCCACATTTTCCTTAAAGTGTTGAATATATGAGATATATCCTGGCTTAATAACAACTACAGTAGAATCGTAGAAAGCTGCTTTGGGAACTGGAAAGTCTGGATTTATTTTTCTTCCCAGTGGGCAAGTTCCTTCATGTATCTTTCCCCTTGTGGAAGGCAGGGTGCTTGCTTTAGAGTTGTTTGGGAACCCGACACTGGAAGAGCTGTAGAAGTGTAAAGAAATCTATTGTAACACCAAAGGTGTGCAGCACTTTTGTGTGACAGATAAGATTGATGTATTGCAGTATAAATGGAATGAAACAAGTTCTAAAGACATAAATTACTAGAAATCCATTTATGTAGAATTTTGGTATAACTTGAAACTGTGGCTGCAGGTTTTCTGCTAACTTCTTTATTGTGTTAGCAATTTATTAGTGTGCAAACGAGAGCTTCCTTTTGGTCACTTACTTGTGGTTTGGGTTTATCATTTTTAGTGGAATACCAGGGCAAAGCGTGAGAAACTGACGGAATTGATGTTTGAGCACTACAACATCCCAGCGTTTTTCTTGTGTAAAACTGCTGTTCTGACAGCGTATCCTTTGAAATGCTTCACTGCATGGTTTTATTTCCCTCCCCCCAGGAAACTATGG